CCTGCCTCCCTCCCTCCCGCGGGGGCGGTGCGGCGGACGGGGCGGGCCGGGCCGGGCTCCACCGCCTCCCGCCGCCGCGGTGATTGGCCCGGCCCGCCCCTCGCCCCGGCGCCCAGGCCACCTCCCTCCCTGGCTAAAGCGGGCAGTAGGTGAGGGGAAGGCGGCCAGACGGGAGCATGGTCGCGGCTCCGCAGCAGCTTCCGCCACCGCGCCGCGCCTCCCTGCCCGGCCTCCAGCGCGGCTCCCGGCGCCCGCAGCCGCGCGGGGCTCTGCGTTAGCGGCGGAGGCTGCGATGCACAAGCTGCCGCCTCCCGCCGCCGCGCATCCTCCCGCCGCCTGAGGACGCGGCCGCCTGCGCCCCCGCGGAGGGAGGTAAGCGGCGCGGTGGTGCCTGCGCCCGCCGAGCCCCCGCCGCCGCCCGCCCGCCGCGCCGGGCATCGCGGGGCTGAGGCTGCCCTGCGCCTGCGCTCGCTGCCCGCATTAAAAACTTCCTGCGTGCCTCTCGCTGCCTGGGGGGTGCCGTGCGGGGGCCAGCGGGCCCTCAGAATGCTGCTGTGGTGGTTTGGGGTTTTTTCCAGGGTTTTTTCGTCTTGGCGTGGGGGATCTCCGCCCCCGCCGCGCACCCACAACTTCAGGCGCTCGCAATTCTCCCCCCCCCTTCCGAGTCCCGGGGGCGGCGGCGGGGTCCCTGCAGACCCCCATCCCTCCGGGGGCGGCTGTCCCGGTGGATCCTCCATCCCATCCCCGGGCCCGCTCCCGGAGCCGCCGCGGACCTGTCTGGCACGGATCGGCGCGCACCCCGCAGGCAGCCTGCTTCCCTCCCTGCCTGCTTCCCGAACGCCTCGGCCAGCCCCGTCCTCTCCCTGTGCCTGGCATGCGTTCCCGTTCCCCCTTCTTGCTTCTCCACATCCCCACGCGTGATACATACGAGGAACTTTTCAGCACGATATTGCTTAAAAATATATATATATATATTTGTGTGTGTATACATATTAAAACATTTTGTACGATTCCCATGCCGATGACATGTCCTCGCCGGTCTGAGGTTTGTTTGGCTGGTGCTGTGCTTTTCCATTGATAATTTTTTTTTTTCCTCCCTGAGGGTTGTTTTCCTGTAACTTGTCTCCGAACCCGGGTGCTGCCTGGTGCCGTTCGGAGCACAGAGGTGCATCCCTTGGGTGCCGGTTTTCGGAAGGTCTGGTTTAGGCTGGGAGGGAAAAGCTACTTTCAATTTTGACATTGAGTGGACGTGGCGAGCTGTCCTTGTCGTGTGAGGATGCAGGTCTGTGATCCCCGGGATTTTGGGTTCAGGTCTCTGTGTCTCCCCGGAGGGTGGAAGAAGGTCTGGAGGAAGGGACTTCTGGAGATGGATGGTGGTGTTTGTCGTACACTTCATAAACTGTGTGTGCTCATCGTCTCCAAGATTATTTTATTTTTCCTCTCCTGGTCTCATTTATTAAACTGAAAATATCACTTGAACGCTGGAGACAGATTTATCTCCCCACCATAACCAAAAATGATGGAGCCCTGGTCATGTAGTTGGCTGCTTATCTTTTGTTGCTGTATATGAAAACTGCATAGAAAAAAATAGAGCGTTCTGGTAACTAGATTAAGGGGGATTTAATCACTTTTCCATCAATGAAGGAAAAAGCCATGCATGTTTGCTGCGGGCTTATTATTTGTTTAAATGGAAGATTATATAGGGCATATTTCCGATAAATGAAGAAACTTTCTTTTTCCTGGTAGTCTTGAAAACAACTGAGCAAGTGTGTGTGTGTAGGCACGTGTGAGTGTCTTGCACCGACTGAAACACGTTTATCAGGTTCTTCTTTTCAGGTACTTTAAAAAACCCAAACTACTGTAGCTTTAAGGTGACTGCAGATAACAGTATTATTGTTTCTTATAATTAGCAATCTGCTGAAACTTTAAATCCTTCTTGAAAGATAGGATCTGTGTGAGAAAAGGGGTAGTGTTCAGTAAGCTTTATTCTTTTTTTATTATTGTTTGCCTCCAAACCAAAGCAACAGTGTGTCTCTTATTGTTGTATTCTGGCTTAAACTGCTAATAGCTTTATTTTTTTTTTCCCATGTGGAGAAAAATCAAGTACAGCAATATTTTACTCTGACATTTATCTGCGTCAAACTTTAGTTATGCTCAGGAGGTTGTTTAATCTTCTCTGGGTAATGTTCAGGATTGTGGCTTTTTGCTTGTTTATTCTTATAACCTGTTCTTATTGTGTGTATTTCTAGAAGTTGTCTTCAGTTTAGGATGAAATATTGGAGCTATGCAAATAATTCAGTGACCCAACAAGAATGAGACTTAGCCTGCATATGTAAACTGTGCTTTTCATTGCCTTGTTTTGCATAGCTGATTTTTTTCCCATAACATCCATGTTGATATTTCCTAATAATGTCTATGGTATTTTAATTGGAAATTAACATTTGGTGTTTGAATAACTAACTCTTTGAAAAAATGAGGGTATCACCATGATTTATTTAAAAGTGGAAAACCATCCTGTCATACCAAGTACTTGTCTTGAAAATAATGACCTCTAACACTTAATTTGGATGAATTTGTTCATGTTCATTTTGTATACAATGAAGGGTCTTAAATGAACTCTGAAATACAGACTGGGCTTTTGGTCTCAAACTGCCTGACTTTCCTGCATTTGTTGTCTCCAGTAGCTTATGAAATGTGTGCACAATGTGTCAACCTTTCCCTTAACAACAAAACCTATGAGCAAGTGTTCAGTGTGAATTATATTACGGAAATAAAATATTCTATAGTTGTCATGGTTACAAATAGAGGCAGGGTTACTGGTTTTCATCTGCATGCTGGGGAGGGGGGATCTAGTTTTGTCACTTTTTAATTACGTTTCTATTGAGTGATGGTCATACTTCAGATACCCAATATATTAAATACATGGCACAGTGAATTAGATTTTGTCAAAGTCTTGCTGTAATGAAACAAAAAGTGGTGGTGTGCAGGAACAAACCCTTGTTCATTTGTTTTTTTTTTGAAGCAGAAATCTTGGGGGAAGAAAGTAACCAGCTCTGTTTTGTCTTGGTTTCTAGATTAGCATGCTGCCGGTGTTGCTGCTCTTCTTCAAACAATAATAAAAAGTATATAGTGTGTATGTTGACTGGAAATCTTCTCAATGAAAGGAGGGGAAGGCACGGATCTAGGAATTAGATGTGATTTTTGGGTTTACTGAGCGCTGTGTCTGGTGCTATCACTTTTAGTGCCTGTTTGCGAGCAGAATTCATTATGCCCAGGTTTGCTGTGATAGTCTCTCCGGCGATGTTGCTCTGCTCCTACGCGTCCTCCTCTGCCAGGTAGTGATCCATGGTGTCCCTGGGAGCTGCTCAGCTTTGGGCTGTGCTGGCAGCACCAGAATCGGGACCGTGAGTATTTGCAGTTGTTGGCGCTTATCCCAGTGCTCTTCTGTCTCTCCTTCTCCTTCCTCATCTGCAATTCAGTCTTGTCCATGCCTACTTGTTTTCCTGACCTTTTAATTTAGTTACGATACCTGATGGACCCAGTTCTTCTTAAGCACAGGAGAAATAAATAAATAAAGGGCCAAAATAATTAATTTTTTTACCTTCCCTTCTTGCCTTTGTATGCTGTGGTGGAAACTCACACAGAGCATTAGGGTGAGAAAAGTACCCCATGATCTGTAAATGGAGAGAGAAATTCCAGGCTGTCCCGTCTTGTTTAACCCTTGTAACTTACATCATACCCCTATTGTGCAATTTTTTTTTTGTCTTGAAAGTAATTTGGAGTTTTCTGTTACACTTTGAAGTTTTGGTCTCTCTTCAATATTTTGTTGAGGTTTTCTATCATCCCTTCTTTAGGTTGAACATGGTCTTCCTTGGGTTCTTGTAATGACTTGTCCACTAAACTCCATCCATCACTTGGATTTGCTGCTGTAGGCTATGGATGCAGAGAGCCAGCACAGGTGAGGGCTGGATACCAAAACTGCTCTGTTTGCAGAGCCTCAACTTTATAGTGCAGCACTGAAGTCTACATCCTCTTCAGATCACTAATTCTTTGTGCCGCAGTTGACACTTCTAGCCAGCTAAAAATCTCAGCACGGGTTAGTGACTTACTTGGTCCTTCTACTTTTTTGTTTTTCCTTCCAGATCTTCCATTTTGCGCAGTTTGCTGATTCCGTAATCTTAAATATGACATAGTATCATTAGGTTCTATGATTTGTGTATGTAATCACTTTCTTAATGTACCCACCTCTCTGCGGAAGAAAGTGTGAAACCTATATCCTAAAGCCCATAAACATACGAATTAGATAACGTTGAATATACCTGCAGGTAACTGAATTACTGCATTAACCATTTGTTATGTTTTTTTAATAATTTCTCTTGTTTTATGTTCGCTTACCCAGTGTGGAGAATGGTTTCAACACCCCTCTGTGCAGTTAACTCTTCCATAAATTTACTTGTAGGAAGGTGGAGCTCCTGCATGGAGGCTTAAGATGCTCTTCCCAAGAAGCAAACTGCCAACAGCAAATCCAAGTGTGAGGCTGTATGAAACATAAACAGCTTTGACATGCTTCTGTCACTTCTGTGCTTCCTTTGTTACCAGAAGTACAAAGAACTCCTCCTCGGCTATAAAGACTTTAAAAGGAAATAGATTAGGAATCTCTTATGGGAACACCTTTCTGTCAGGTTTTTGCGATCAACAGTGAGTCCCAGGGTGTGAATATGCATCGTGTACCTGGTGCAGTGAAACCAGACCTGGTGCAAGCGGTGCCCTTCTGGGAGAAGCCTTCCCGGTGCTGTTGTTATGCAGCGAGTTACCTCTGTGCTGTCTTGACCATCTGATAAATGACAGTAACTGAATTCCTAGTCACACTCTTCCATAAATAATTTTATGTTGTGGATTAGGATATGTGGAACATGGGACCGTTTTGTCTAATTTTTATGTGTTGCTTTTTTTTTTTTTTTTTTTTTTTTTTTTAAATCTATGATGCTTAGGTTTGAGTGTTCAGGTATTCACAACTTGGATTTTGGCCATAATTGGTGTTAACATCAGAAAAACACAAGTTTTTTTTGTGGTCTTAAATTTCAGATAAAGTATAGTACTGGCTTGCAATAATAATACTAATTCTGTAAAACAGTCTGCTGAAATACAGACAAAGACTCATTTTAAAATGAACTCAATGTTCCTTTTGTAGTATTCTGTGATTTGTGTTTTTGTTTAATTCCCTGCCATCCATTCCAATATGCTATGTGATGTCTACTGTTAAGTGCTGGGATTACTGTTCAGGTTTGGTTTTTCTTGGGTTGGTCTCCAGTTTTAGAGCTCTACATAAGTTCAGGTAGTACACAGTTTGATTGGGAAGCAGATTATATCTC